AATGGGGAAAGGAAATTTGGCATTGAACAACCCAATTTACTCCTCTCGAGGTGCACAGAGAACAAGGTACAGCCATCACTGCTGTTGATGTCAGAGCAGGAAACAGCTTGAGAATTTTACTTGAAAAACCAACATGCTGGCAGAGGCAGTGACAATTTAAAGGTGCTTGGAGGGTAAAAACTGGGAAAAAAAGGAATTAATTAAGCAAAAATGGGAAGGCAGATTTGGCTGGAAAGTGAAAGCATCACAGATGCTCATTTATTTAAAAGAAAATCAGGAATTTATTCCTGATTAGCCTTAAGGGATAGAAGACTGAAGGTGGGTGGTGCAGAATGCTGTTGATGCTTAATTAGCACCCAAATTAGGACACTAATTATGTGTGGAGAGAGATGATGCCCCGATGAAGGGGGTTGTGTCTCCCACCTCAGGTGGCCTTGCCTTCTCTGTGCAGCAGGGTGGGTATGGGAAAGGTCCAGGGCGAGATCCAGAGGTAAAAATCTTTGGGGTTGTCTTCTTTTTCCAGACGTCTTGGAGTGCCCTCTGGAGGAAGACTTAGAGGGGTACCGGAGAGGTGAGTCTGGCTTCAGGGACTTACTGAACTCCCATTTGGGTTCAGTGCCTGGAGCTGATGCTCTGGTGCAATTTTTGGAGGTGATATTCCAATGCATAGAGGCTCATGAACATCCCTCTCCCTGCCAGCAACCATCACCCTGGATCCAGCCACAGCTCACCCCAAATCCTGGTGTCATTGGATGGCCAGACTGCAGGCCACCAGGAATCACCTCCAGCTCCTCTGCCCTCAGGAATGGAGAGTTTTGAGTCTCTCTGCTGTGTTTTGGGTCAGCAGGATGTTGTGTGGGACTGTCACTGCTGGGCCATGAAGGTTTGTCCTGCTCCTGACAGGGCACTGGGGGTGGCTTGGGAATTCGTGTCCCATAAGGGCTGCTTTGGTCTCAGCCCCAAATGTAGGGTTTGGGCCATGGGGCAGTGCTGGGGCAGCTGCAGGCTCTCACCTGGCCCAGCCCATGTCTCTGCCCCACAGCCACACTGTCCAACACATGGAGTGGTTGTGGATTACGGTGGCGGGCGGGTGGCTTTCTGTGATGCTGATAGTCAGACTGAAGTCTTTGCCTTTCCCCCACCCACTTGAGGTGGGGGAGATGAGGTGAATGACTCTGGCCACTGCTCTGGCTGGGCAAGTGGCCAGCTTTGCTCACACTCTGTCCCTGATTTCCCCAAAAATCCCCTATGAGCCTTGCAAGTGCAAACACTTCCACCACCCCAGCAAACACTCCACTCAACAACAAACAGCCCCACTCTTCCCCCAGACCCATTTAATTTTCCTTATAACATCTAATTTAACAATCACATTTCACTCTTTTGCTTCTCAGTGGGAGAACAGAGGTATTTTCAGTTCCTCAGCTGTTTGTCAGTGGAAGCTTGGACCAGAGAAATAGGGAGAATGTCCCTAAAAGCTTTTCAAAAACTCATCTTGAGGAAGAAAATGGGCTTTGCTCATGCTGCTAGATGTCTCATAATAAGGTTTTGCAAGTGGAAACTTTTCTGCTTAGGATTTGCAGAGAATTTAGGGGAAGTGGGTTAAAACCATGTTTCATGTTTCTGAGGATCACTCAGGATTGGGCCTTTTCAGGGCTTTGTATTCACTGTCAGGATGTAAGCAGGGAGAGAGATGACAGACAGAATTTCATCCCCTATTTCACTGCCTGCAAGTGAATAGAAGGGGAACAAAACTAAATGAACTGGTATCTTGAAGCAGCAGAAGGTTGTTGTTAGGGTTCAGCCATGGAATAAAGTGCTTGCTGTTATCAGCAAGCCCAGACAGGGCTGGGCAGGTCTCTGCCTCTTGCAGTCCCAGTCACTCCTTTGCTGCCAGAATTGCCTCCCCATCCACATGCAGTCTTCAGCTTGGTCTGAGGAAGAGGAGAAACTACCAGGAAAGGCAGCAACTTTTATCTTTGGGACCTGAATTTTAGACAAGGGCCCTGACAAAATACAGGTCACAGCTAAACCCACATTACAGTCCAGTTTTATAATTAGGTTTTTCCCTGTTTGGCTCATGGTGAAGTTGTTCTTTCCTTGAAAGACAAGGTCCAGTGATGTATAAAGCAAAGCACTTCTTTGCAGCATGCTGCTCCAACAGATGAGCTTGCAACACTCCATCCACTTTTTGTCTGAAAAGCTTTATGGATATTTAATTTGAAAGTCCATACAAAAAAACCCAAAACCCCCTGCCTTTTTATGTAACTCAATAGCCCCACAGCTGGCTCTCTGGCATTGGGGTGGCAAGGAAATCAGCCTCTTTTTGCTCAAGGGCAGCTCAACAGCATCCTGTCAGATGGGAGGCAGATGGTTGGGTGTGGAGGGTGCACAGCCCCCACTCCTTGAGCAGAGACAGCAGATGCACCTTGCAGCCCTGCCACCATGGACCCTTGGACCCTAAAACCCTCCTGGCGTGGCAGGCACACCTCATACCAGCCCACGAAAGAGGGGAGTTGCTGAAAGTTTTGGGTTTTTTTTCTCACAGGAATCAAAGTTTTTTCCACAAAGCTGGAGCCCAGGGTGCATTTTGCAGGGATTTGGGGCTTGAGGATGAACATTCTCGGGGGGGGGTTTAGCCACTGCCTCCTGCTTCTCCCCATGCTGCTCCTCTTCCACTGACACCTCAGGATCAGACCAAGTGCGAACTGTGCATCCAGGGGAAGTGCAGCAGGCATGGAGGGGCAAACCTGAGTGAGGACTGCAGGCCCTCCACGATGGTGGGAGTGTTAATCTTCTCCTGCTCCTCACTGAGGTCCATTGTAAGCAGAAAGAGGTGGATTTTGGGAGTGGGTTTACAACTGTTTGACTTTTTATCAACTGTTAATAATTTCTTGGTGTTGATGGGTGCTTATAAAAATGGAGATCAAAAGGCAATTTTAAAAATCAGCAGCTTGTTACATCCAGAAGGCAGAAAATACAGCTCTAGTGCAACCGGGGGGGGTCTGTGTTTTTAATCCTCTGGTTTTGGGTATGTTTGCTCCATTTTGGGCCTTCTCCCCAAGGGAGCAGCTAGCACTGTGGGAGATGGGGATTTTCCACCTTGAAACAATCCCCAAAGGGAAGAAATCTCCAAATTAGAGAGGAACTTGTTAAAGAAACGGTGGCCTTTGCACTGCTGCCTTGAGGAGAAAGTGCTCCCCAACCCCTTTGTTTTTTTTGGGGGTTGATAGACACCCAACTCCTTTGTTTTTGAGAAGACTGTCCCCTTTTAAGTGAAAATAAGACTTGTTGTTTTCAGCACTAGCAGTGGATATGGGGAAGAAACAGCTCCAAAAATATCTGTAAGGCCTTCCAGAATTAACTTATATGCTGCTTGGGTGGGAGGGCAGGCTTTAGTTTTTCATATGTCACCATTTTGCCCAGTTCCCCACTCCAGGGGCCTTTTCCCCATTTCTTACCCAGTTTGTTGGGATAAAATTCATAATTTCATTTAATTTTTTCCATTTTATAATTTCTCCTACTCTGAGAAGAGGCTTTTTCTCCCCAGAATGAAGCAAAGCAGGATGTTTCTCCCTCCAAGTCCCTTCATTGCTCAAAATCCCCTCCAAAAACCTACATCTGAGGGCTTACTTAAGCTAAAAGAGGCCTTTTTTTAACATAGGATGAAACGCTATAGTGCATTATAGGGCCTCAGCAGCATGAATAGAGCTGATAGCTGAGTTGAGCAAAAAATATCTGAATTTTGGGTAATTTTTAGTTTTTGCCTTCTATTCTGTAAAATTGTCACTCTGTATGCACCCATGCTTTAGACCTGCATTTCCCACATAGAGGAACTTCCCCCTGGAGCTATGGTGAGCCAGCTGTGCTTTGCTGCTCACCCAAATCCTCCACACAAAAACTCACCAAACTCCAAAAAACAAGTATGAACTGAACTTTGTCTTTAAATAAACTGGTTGAGCTCAGTGATATATTGTGTCACTCATAACCTGGAACTGGTGTCTTAAACAAGGTGGTTTTGAGCTATACTGCAGTGTTGCCCCAGGTGGGACCCTCCAGGGAATGGGGACAGCCAGAGGTGAGGATATTCAGGGAGAAATTGATCTGTGAGAACAAAGACATCTAGGCTGGGGTGTTGAGGACTTAGGGGGAAAGGGACCTCTGTGACTGGCTGGGGACCCAGGGAGGCCAGGGAGCTCTGAGGCACGCAGATGACATGCAGTGTTGCAGGTCAGGCGTGGGTGATGTACCCACGATGAGCTGGGCCCCTACCCAGCTCCATGACCTCTGCTCCCCCTGCACACTTTGGCAGGGTCAGGGCCAGAGTTCACCACTCAAGTCTGTCCTCAACAGCCAGCCCAGGGGAAGAATGAGCTTCTTTATACTGGCACTTTTGTTTGACCAGCAGTGATTGATGTGACTGCTGAAGTGATATAAAATAATGATGCCAAGAAGCAGGAGGACACTGATAGTTCAAAGCAGGTCCAAGCCCGCTGTAAAGACCAGATTAATGCTGTAAATGCAGTGTCCTGGGAGGAGCCAGGAAGGTGCACTCTGGTTTCCAGGCCACGAGGAGGTGCTCCAGTTCACTCCTCAGCCAAAGTGTAACTCATGGATGATGATGATACTAAACCCTGCCCTGAGCCTGATGCGGGAGAGGGAGCAATGCTTCTTGGACTCATCTCAAGTTCCCCCAAGATGTGTGGTGCTGCTGCAGCCTTGCCAAAGCTCAGTTCAGGGGCACCAGCAGCATGGGTGGGGGGGCTACACCTTTTGCACCCCCACAGCCCAAGGGTTGGGGCACCCCCAGCCCCTCCACCTGTCTCAGGGACACCCCCCAAATACCCACATGACCCAGTCTGGGGCCTCACCCCAAACTCTACTGCTCCTGGTCCCCAGCAAAACTTCGCCCTTCCCTGTGGCACCTGTCCAGCTTTAGGGTAGCAGCTCTGAAGTGAGAGGTTAGTTTTGAAATCAGTGTTGCTTACAATGTCTCAAACACAGCAGGTTAAAATATTTTTATTAACTTGAAAAGAAATCCCTTTGGGCAGCTGTCCTGGTCCTTTATTTCATGCAGGGCTCTGAGCATCCAGTCACATCTAGCTGCCTGGCTACTAGTTCCATCCAGGGAGACTGGATTTGCTGTGCCCAGGATCAGAGTTTGACATCTGAAGCTGGCTGGTCCTCTTCTAAGGTGGTGGGACCTGGGCACAAAGGACAGAGGTAAGCACCTTGAAGCCCAGGGGCATCTGCATGGCCAGAGACCCTCAGGGACAGGGTACTGCCCCTGCCCTCCAACATATGGGCTGTTTTCCCACACTGGCCAGTGCCATCTCCACACTGCACTCCATCTTGAACACACCCAAGGACCAGTTGTCCCATCCACCAGTCACCCCCCTCCATCCTGCTTCCACCTCTCCTCAGCCTGCCTCAGACCCCAGACCCTCCCGGCACCTGCCCAGGTGTGCAGACAGAGCCCTGCACACCCATCACCAGCAAACAGCTGGTGCTCTCTCCCCCCAGCACTGGTGCCCTGACAGGCCATACCCAGTTTATCCTGTGCCCTCTTTTCCACCTCATCCACGCAGTCATCTGTGCTCAGCAGCTCAGTCACGCTAGGCTGGGAAGGAGAGAATGGCTGGCTGCAATGTGGGGCTCAATTCAGCATCCCCAAGCAACACTCCCCACCCATCTTTCCTTGAGGAAACTGAGGTAGGGTGGCTTTCAGATGCTCAGCATCTTTCTCCCAGCCTTGTTCCTCCCTGATGTTCTTCCCTTCACCATCCCTACCTTTTTGGAGAGGTGTAGGACATCCTTGAGTGGTGCACTGGATGTGTCCTGACCCTTGCAGCTCTGTGACTTGAGGAACTTGCTATTGACCAGCTTCCTGAGGGATGGAGCATGGAGATGCTTATTGCCCAGCACTGAGCTTCATCCCACTGTGCCAGAGAGGGGGGCAGAGGGTGCTCCCTACTGACACCTGTCCCCAACAACTCCTGTAGGAAACCCATGCCTGTCCCACTGTGCTGAGTCCCCACCAAGCCTGAGGTCAGGCTGAGACAAGATAAAACTGATAATATCTGGCTTCAGTGCCACTGAGAGCAGGGCTTGAGCAGTGCATTAGGGGCTTTAAAAGCCCAGACACCTGGGGCTTTTAAAGACACCTGGTTTTTCAGCTGACCCTCTGCTCCCCTACCCTACCCTGCCCTGCCCAGGCCCCCTGGCCCCCTTTCCCCCCATTCAGGGCGGAGATCTCCCTTGCCAAGGCAGGACTATCCTGCATACCAGAGGCCAGTGATGGGTCCCTATGTCCCCTACCTGTGACTGTGCTGTTGTGCTTGCTCCTCTGTGGCGCTGGTAGAGGGGTGTGCAGCATGGCTGCAGGGCAGTGATGGAATCAGCGGCAGTGTGTCAATGTGCCTGGGGAGGGCAGGAGCCATGGGTGGGTGACATTGGTGAGTGACAAGGGACAAATAAGCCACCCCAGCTTGGGGCAGAGCACCAAAACCCATAGACTTGTACCCCACATCACCACTCTGCCTGCTGCCCTCAGGGAGGTGTTCCTGGAGGGAACAATCCACATCTGAAAGACATGGCTTCAGAGGGGGCTCAGCAGAGTCAGGCCCCCCAGACCCCTCAGCAGAGTCAAATCCCTGTGCCTGAGACAGCAGGGCACAACTACACCCATCCCTGTCTCACCCACGCAGCCCCCCAATGTACCAGTGTTGGGTGCTACTCACGGGCCAGGCACCTGCATGTTGAGCTGCCGGTCACAGGACAGGCACTTGAAAGGGACCAGCAGCTGCCTAAGGGAGAAAGGGCTGGGTGAGCTCCTGACAGGGCTGCAATGCACACAGCCAGCAGCTCACAGGCAGCAACAGGTGCCAGGCACATTGCTGGAGGGAGCCTCAATGTTTGCAAGGGGAGCTGTGGCATGTTGGGCCTGGTTTTCTTCCCATCCAAGGGAACAATGAGATAAGCTTGCCTTGGCAGCACTGGAACTGCTGAACTGTGTCTGTGGCCCATAGCTGCCCAGAGCAGGCAGGGATGTGATAGGAAGGGGGCAGGCACCCACACTGCCATCCAAACCAGCTCTTCCCCTGGCATCATCGCCTTGTCAGTGCTCACAACTCCCCTCCATCTTGCCAAGGTGGGCAGCTCATGACTGAGGCCTGTGACACCATGTGTTGCACCCCTGCCCAGGCAGAAAATCCTCTGTTCTCCATTCTTGAACCTCTGCACCCACACCCCAGTTCTGGTTTGCACAAGTCTGTTTTGCAGATGCCCATTCTTGTGCCTACTTTGATGTGGGGAACCTGATACTTATAGGTGAAGAAGGTGCAGCTGCTTTGTCAGCATCCCTGCGGTTTGTTGGCTACATTGTTCTGATGCCAGGGTACCATACAGGAAGGAATGAGGCCAGTGCTGTTGCCAAAGCCAGTACCATCCCCTTGCACTCACTTCTTAATTCCAGCAGCGTCATCAATCTCTACTGTCAACTCATCCTTGAGATCCTTAATTTTCTTTGCCCAGTTATCCTCTAGCTGCTTCTGGAAAGGCCCAAGCTCCAGGCGATCCAGCTATGGACAGATGCATACCCTTAACCAGCTGCTCCAGGATGGAACATAGTAGTCCATAGGGAAAAGCCAGCAGAGAAGGCTTTTTTTTTTTTCTACAGGGAAACCTCAGAGGGAGGCTGCCTCAGGCTGCAAAGCCCCCAAGGAGTCAGTTTTGTACTGTGAGAATAAGGCACCCCTCACCTTGGAGTCCAGGGCATCACTGAACCGCTGCTGGGCCTCCTGCCAGCGCTGCTCCTGACCTAGCACCCGTCTCAGCAACTCCCGCATCCTCTCCTCCAGATGCTCCATGGTTTCATCAAAATGGGCGCAACTGACTTTGCTGCCCAGGGCAGCTTTGTCCACTTTCTAGCAGGGAGGAAAGGCAGGAGAGGGGTGGGGACAGGGCAGAGGTACAAGAGGCAGGGCCAGCCTCTGTGTATTGGGGATAGAGGCAGAAACATTCCTGTGAGACCATCGTGCCCTTTTCAGGGCTGTGTGGCCTGCTTACCCTATCACCCCCATGGGGTCAAAGGGACTTAAAGAGATGGACAGAGTGACCTGGCAAGGGATCTGCAGCCAGTCTAGAAGTGCTCACACCCTCCCCCTTACCCATCCAGCCAGTTTGCCATTGCATGCCCAAAGGGCAAATTGCATTTATCACCCTGCCCAAATCCCCTGGGCTGAAGATGGACCTCTCAAGACCATACCAGCAGCAACAGGTCCTCCTTGTCTGCTTTCTTCTCGAGACCCTCCAGGGACCGGAACAGAGCCTTCCAATGCAAAAAGCATCTCATGACACCACAGCAGGGTCAGAGCTGTGTTCTGGCCAGCCAGGGCTCCCTGCTCTTTGGGAAAGGCCATTTGAACCAACAAAGGGCTTGCGAGCAGGTGGGCAGGGGATCAGACCTCTGTGTGATCAGACCAGCCTTGGTGTGCCTGGGGGATACTTTGACCCTCTGGGGGTCCAGCCACCAACCTCAATATCTCTCTGATGCTGGCGATGGTCATCCCGGAGGCTCCCCGTGACGTAGCCGAGCTGCTCGCAGTCCCCTTCCACCCGCACAACAGTGGCCTGGATGCTCTTTAGCAGCTCCTCCTCCTGCTCCAGGGAGAAGGATGACAAGATAGTGTCATGCAAGGGGTATCTGGCTGCCCTCAAGGACAGATCTGGGTTACTTGGCTATGAGCACTCAGTACCAGCTGGACATTTGTATCAAGGCTTTAATTTCCTGCCATACTGCTGACCTGTCCAAACCAAGCTGGGGGGTAGCAAGGGGCTGCTCTACATTACAGTGAGCACAGACAGAGGGTCCTGATACAGCCCTCCATATTTCCAGCTGCCCACCTGAGTCTTCTCTGGCAGTGACCTCTGCACCTGCTGTGGCACCAGTGAGTCCACCTGCTGCTGGAGCCTTTCACAGCGGTGTAGGAGCTTCCTCACAAGCTTGTTGTCCGTGTGTGACTCTCCCTGCTGCTGCTTCCCAGTCCCCATCATTGCCCTCAACTCATTCAGCTGCAGAAAAGGGAGAAGGAATAGATTTTGAGATAGAATGGATGCAGCCAGCAGAACCTGGTGCCCAGATGGCCCTGACCAGGCAGGGAGTGTGGCCAGGAACCCCACAAGGAGCAGCCTGCCATTCAAGACAACAGTTGGAGTGCTGCCTCCAAACCTCACCTGATCCTGAAGCTGGTCATCTGTAACCACCTGCTGCAGTATGGCCTTGGTAATATTCTGTTCCTGTCTCAGCTCCTTCTGCTCCTGCTTAATCTCCCGCAGTGCAGGCCTAGCCAACAAGATGAGGGCACAAGGCAGGCTGAACCTCCACAAGGCCACGTGGGAGGTGAGCTTTGCTCCCCAAATCTGATGCTCCTGGATTGCCACACTCCATACCTCCCGGCTCCCCTGCAGCCCCGTAGGATACAAAATCCTCTCCCCATCCTCTTACTCCAGCTGCAGGGGGATCTCCTTGGTGCCATCCACGTCGCACTCGGCTGCAGTCACAGCCAGCTTTCCAAGGGCATCCTGCAGCTGTCTGATCTGGGAAGGGTGGTAGTGGCAGAGTCAGAGCATGGACTCCATGGTCTCCTTTGCCTGCCTCTTCTCTGCCAACTCCCCCTGGCATTCTTGCTGCCCCCTTAGGGACTGATATGGGCTTACCTTCTCCTTCTCACCCTGCAGGTCTCTGACCAGATTCTGCAGGGAGGACATCTGGCCCTGGAGCTCAGATAGGTCTCTGAGGATGCTCTCCATAGTTGGAAGGCCTGCTTGGAAAACAAGCTGTGTCACAGTGGTGCCACTTTGGGCACTGGAGGGTCTCTGTCTGCATCCCAGGGGCGGTGCTCTGCTTACCAGGGCTCTGCCCCAGCTTGTCCATGTCTGAAGTGTAGGGCTTGGCAGAGGCAGGCTGGCCCTGGAGCACCAGTGGCTGGCCAGCAGCATCCTGGAGGTTCCCCTGGAGTGGAGTGAGAAGAGGGACTGCAATCAGAACCCTGAAGCATCCACAACTGAGCTTGTGCCCAAGCCAGAGAGACCCTGGGTGGGCTGTGGCTGCCAAGTACTGGTAGATCTTTACCTTCTTTCTTTCCACATTTTCCCTTTTTTCAGGTCTGTTTAGTTCAAAATGCCTCAGCAACCCTTTGGCTGAGGCAGGCAGTGACCTCTACTGCCAGGCTGATCTGCAGGCAGAGGTGGGGGCCTCCTAGTGGGCAAGGCTGAGTTTCCACGCTTCCCTCACAGGATACCCTTCCTACTCTTCCCTCCCAGTAACCTTCACAGTGGGTGACACCCATGGACACGGGGCAGGGGTGGCAGGGCAAGATCTTGAGAGGAAGGGAGGCAGGGAGGGCCCAGTTCCCTCCCAAAGGCAGCAGCTCACCTGGCCAAGTGCTTCCTGGATCATCCGGATGCCTTCTCCCATGCGGGACTGTGTGGCCTTCATCTCATTGATCTCCTTACAGAGATCCTTGCAGAGATCTGTGGTCTAGGAGAGGTGGGTAAGGGGGATGAACCTCATGGCAGGGTCCCTGGGGACCTGCAGGACCTTTACCTGCACCTTGGGGCACAGCCAGATAGCTGGGCACTGTGGGTTGCACCCTCCATTCATCTGGCATGGCCAGATGCAGCTGAACCTCCAGTGCACAGAGATGTCACTGGACAGGTGGCAGCTCACCTGGCCAAGTGCCTCCTTGATCCTCTGCATTTCCTTTCCCATGTTGATCTGCATGGCTTTAATCCCAGCCATCTCCTTGTGGGACTCCTGGGGGAGAGCAGTGGCTTAGGAGAGACACGTGATGGGGATGAGCCCCAGGCAAGCAGCTCCCAGAGACTCCCACGCCTGCCCTGGAGAGCCTATGGCACATCCTGGCTCAGCGGGAAAAGACCCAACATGGGAAGGACCCAAGGCACCCCCAGAGCAGTGTTTCAGACCCAGATTTTCTCTCCAAATCTCCCTCCCTTTCCCACAATGAAAGTCAACATGCTGCTCAGAGCTTGGGCTTCAACCAAACCTTCATATAAGGGCACAGACCCCACGGGAGGGGGCGTCTTGGGGGGTGGGAAAAGCCTCTACCTTGGAGATGTCACTCTCTTTGGCATCAGTCTTCTCCATCTGTCCCATGTCGGCAGCCCCCGAGGTGACAGGAGAGCCGCTTCTGGTCCCCTCCAGCTCATCCTCCCCCGGCGGCTGGGAAGGCTGCCCTGTGTCCCATGCCCAAGCCTCGGCGGGATGGCTCTGCCCCGGGGCGGGCGCGGCTTCCTGGGCCCCCTCCTGGGAGATCACGTCCTGCAGACCCAGCAGGCTCAGGTGTTCCAATATGACCCTCAGCAGTCTGCGGAGCGCCTCCAAGTTGACGTTGACTTCGGGCGTCCCGATGGCTTCATCCAGCAGCTGAAACAGGCTGCCTGAGGCCATGGCTGCTGCCCTGCCCGAAAACACAGCACCTGTCCTTCCTCCGTGCTCGGAAGGAAGCTGCAGCTAGGAATGTGGGCAGCCAGCACCCTCCTTCCTCCTCTTTCTCCGCCTTCCAGAGCCCCAGTCGCGGGTCCCTGTGTTTGTGGTGTCGCTTGTTGCCAGGTAACGCCCGGCCCTGGCAGCCGGCTGTCGCGGAGCCATGGAAGATCCCTTACGAAGCAGAAGGGACTTCTTACAGATCATCGAGTCCCATGTTTGCAGCTGTGGTGGGCCAGAGACTCCTGGCTGAAGGGGTCCTCCCTGATGGCCCCTTGTTCTTCAGCCACCCCACCTTGGATTGGGGGAACATGTGGTTAGGAGCCCCAAAATTCCCTTGCTCCCCTTGATGTCCATTCCACCTTGGGCTGGGAGGGACAGCAGTGGGGGTTTCCCGACCCCCTCCGTCCCCTCAAGTGTCTCCCCCCCTTGGGCTGCCCCGGTACAGCGCAGTTGAGGGCAGTGATTCAGCTGCTGCCGTGCCTCGAGCCACGGCGCCGAGCACGGGTCATGCTGGAACTCGAGTGCTTCAGAGGAAGTCCTGGACACACACACAAGGACACGTTGCCTGAGTTAGGGACCCCCTGCTCAGTCTCAAAATCCCGGAAAGACCCAGGCAGCTGCATGTGGGGGCAGCAAAGAAAGGTGGTTTTGTCCACACCTGCTCCCTCTTTGGGCTCTCAGAGACAGAGGACAGGTAGCACCCCAAAACGCAAAACTCCCAGGTATTTGGGGTGCCCACCACAAGCAGGAGGGGACATGTATCTGGGCAGCTCCCCAAAGAGATCCAGATTTTGGTGTGCCCTCCCTGAGATGGTCTCCGGATAGGACCCAGATGCTCAGATGGCCCCCCAGGACAAGGATGGGATGGTGTCTGGGCAACCCCCTGCAACCAGGAGGAGATCCATGTGTCTGGGGTTCCCCCCAAGGCCAGAAGTGGAACACTGGCATCCAGGCTGTCCCCTCACAACCAGAAGAGGACCCAGGCATCATTTGGGGATTCTGAGGGGAGGCAGTTGGGGGGCAGTGGGTAGGGATTTCCCCATCACCTTCTGCACAGTGTAGTGGTTGCCCTTGGAGTTGCTGTTATCCTGAGGGGACTCCCACTCCAGCATCACATTGAACTCCAAAACCTCCTTCACCTCCAGTGCTCAGACATGGAGGGGGACAGCTATTCTGTGGGACAGCCTTTGCTCCATGACCCTTAGGCACCCCAAACAGTCCCCAAAATCAGGCCGTGGCCCACAAATATCCACAAATACTCCCCCAAAATGCCTGGCCTAGCACATCCAGCCTCTAAACCACACCCCAAAACACACTGCTCCTATTGCCCCCAGCACCTCTCATCTCAGTGTGGCCCAGTGGTCCCGGTACCCTCAGCCCAGTGCTGCCAGTACCGCTACACTAGGACTCCCAGTATAGCCCATCTCCGTGCTACCAGTGCCTACTGAGAACATGCAATGAGAAAGCCCTCCTAGGCTGCCAGCAAGCATGTCCTACCTAGCGCAGCCTGCCCAGCTCCCTCATCCTTGTGCTTCCAGTACGCTCAGTTCCAGAGCTCCCACTAGTCCCTGTGCCACTGGTGACATGCAGTGGGAATGCAGCTGTGCCTAAGATCTGCTTTGACACAACCAGGATTTACAGCTCAAATTTTAAATAAGTCCTCCAGCTCCTCTGGTGAGAAACTTGTGAGTGATTCTAACACCCTGGCCCTGACCCTGTTACAGCAGGTTCCTTTGGGGGGAGTAGAGGGCCATGGAGCTGGGAACAGGGCCATTTCAGTGTGGGGATGTCACCCACCCATGACCATCGAATGGCATGTCCCCTGAGAGTCTGAAGGTCCCTGACCTCACAGGAACCCTCCTATACGAGCACCCAGAGGTCCTTGTCCCCAGAAGTCCCCATCTCCACTGGAGGTCTGCAGCTAGGAGCAGTACCCTGAGATGGGGCTAAGAGTTCGCATGGGTCTGGGGCAGGTCACCAGGCTATGGGTTCTCATGGGTCACCAGGCACCTTTAAGACCTTGACACTGTGAGGGGCAAGTGATGCAGAAGGGGTTTGTGTGGTGATGGCAGGATGAGGCCACAGATCCCGTGGTGTCCCAGTATGGGGGTCCACTGGCTGCCTCCTCCCTGCCCATGCACCACTGGTCAGTTTCTGGTCATATCAGAGAATATTAAAGAACAAGTGAATTGCATATGTCATGGTGGTTTTTATGCAATTTTAGATCTTGTGGATCTGATATAGCTGACCTACGTGTGTTGACAGACCTGTATATGTTTATGTGCAAGTGCTTTCCTTGTTCAGAGTTGAGTCAACTAAAAGTCCCTGAGTATTTTGACAGGGATGGTGTGTGGGTAACCTGGTCCTCCAGGTCAAATTAAATTAAAGTCACAAACACTATTCAAAATGCAGAGTCCAATCTTGTGCTAAGCTTCTGCAGCCCCAAAACCCCTACAAGAACATAACAACATGGTGTAAAGGGCCAAAATCTGAAGATGCCTTTCTAATACTGATTCTTCGCCACTCTTCAAATCTTCCAGACCAGGAGACTGTGGAAAAGAGGAGACGTTGCTGAAGCAGGGTGTTTCCACATATGTAGAAGGTACATACTTTCAATACTGTGTCAAGAAAAGCATCCTCGGACTTAAGAGGATCTTCAGCATATGCTTTGGTCTCTTGGTTGTAGATGTAGTAGATCAGTAGATGGCAAAACAATACCATCAACACCTGCTCAGCTGAATCTGATCCAGATAAGTAAGTTATAGGTAAACAATCACCTGCTTAGCCTGTGTTTAATAATAGCACACTTCGAATCCAGGTCATCTGTAGTTAGAGGGGTTTCTTGCAATCTCAGCACTCTGCTCTTAAGCTTCTATTTTATTGGAGGAAGAGAGTAATTCTTGCCAAAACTACAGCTAAATCACTAGAGACAATAACATAAACCCTGAATTTCTTGGGGTTTGGTTTTCTTGTTATAGCTAAAGGAACTCTTAAGGAGAAGATAGTAGGCTAAAACAAGAGTAAAGAGAGAAATTATTTATTTATAACACATTAGGAACACTTTTCACAGTACATCATTAACAGGGTGACTAAATAATAAAGTGATCATAAAAGGGTGACTTAAAAAGCTGGTTAAAGACAAGGCAGAGATTATAGGCTAGTCATGGAAACTGGTAGGCTAATTGGTTTCCTCCCATAAGCAAAGCTGCACAAATAAAGACTGTCTCATACTATTTCTGCAAATGTAAAAGATTGATTTACTCAATCTGTACATTTTCTTTTTATTGTATAAATTTACCAATACTTAGATTAACATTTTCATATAGTTTTTGATGTTAAATTTAAATACAGTATTATGTCTCATTAATTTAAGGTGCAATTTATCAAAATCTACAGTAAATATTTTCTTCTTAATCAGGTCTCTTTGGCACACTTCTGGTCTGTCTAAATACAAAAGTGTAGGATTGAATCGAGTATATAACACTGCAGGTATTTGAAGGGTTTTTCGTTAGCAAATGAATGTGATTTTATGCTTACCACAAGCTTATTCACAAAGAAATAACTATATATGAATTTCAGTTTAAGTTATATATAAAATGGCTAAACTACTTCAATGTGCAAGGCAGAAAAAAAATTCTTACAGCAACTCCTCCCTTGAGAGAGTGATTTTTGCACCATGAAAATCTTGTATAAAATGTTATAGAAAATGGAGATTTTTTTAATGAGGAAGTTCTCGGTGCTTCTTATCTTACAGCAAGCCACCTGAGGACATGATTTTCTAGGTCCAGAAATGGTTCATAAGATACAGTTTAGCTGACAGGTTGGCACTATAGTGGTGTTGCAGCTATAAACTTGCATGTTCAACTGACGAACTAAACCAAAGAGCCAAAAAACCCAGCCAGTCTGTGTAAGGAGTTTAGTGAAAGTGGCTTCTTTCTATGAGAAAGGTCTCATTCCTATATTCTTGATATATGTATATATCTATCTGCTTTTATTGCAAGGAAGAAACATTTAGAATTTGCACTCTGCATTTTTGTTTTCATGATCTCTTCTTACTTTTGGGCTGACTAATATTTTGTTAAAATCATAAGTGGACAATAGTAAATGGGATTCTGTTTCTGATGGAAATGTATGAGGAAGCCATCAAAGTTGACCTAAATAGGTAAAGTATAACTTTACAAAAAGCTCTTCAAGTGCCAGAAGAGCAAGCTCAGAGCAATTTATTTCACATCTGAAGGCCAATACCAGCACCTGGCATTTACGTGAAAGGTATGAGGAAACAGCTACATAAATACTGGACCTCTTTCAGTGACTAATTATTTCACAATTGAATAAAAACTAAACCCTATTCACAGTAAAATGTACTTATTTCAAGGCCCTTCTGGTCTGTTTTTTTCCTGAATCACGCAAGTAGTATCCCCTCAGCTGCAGAAATTAGCATTTTGGCAAATGATCAAGTTACAGTGCAACCTGTATAGAAGGCAAGGATGTAAAAAGGGATTTCATACAGGTACTTTGTGATGTGGTAATGTGTAAAATGCTGTGCTACTCCTGAGTAAAACACATTTTGGCTGTTCCCAGCTAATGACCCATTTATGAGCATGCTGATTCCAGAGAGGCATTTCACAGCCTCAGGAATAGTATATATTCAAAAAAAAAAAGTACTTTACAACTGCCTTTTTCTTCAGCCTATAAGTAAGGACTAAAAATGGTTAGTTCAACCTGTTGAGGGAGATGATGAGAAGGGGCAGAACTGGTAAGGAGAATCAGAGTCTGTGTGGTAAATCAGATGTAAGTGAGATGTAATTAATTCTCAATTTCCTTTTAGCTTTTTGAGATATTGCATATGGCCATGCTTAGTGCTCCTGTTTTATCTGAAAGCTATTGGATTTAGAACTGGGATGTCTGTGTAAAGGATATAGTATCAGATTTATCTATAGCAAAGCCTCCATTGATGTACG